AGAGAGCGCAGGTAACTTGTTTTTCTTTGGTTTTTACTATATTGGGGCTGATGTGTACTGTAGTTATTGGTGCCGCCCAGTCATGGGAGTGTGCGCAGGACTTATCTTTCTGCATGTGTGTGTCTGTCTGAGTGTGTGTGTCTGACTGTCTGTCAGTGAGTATGTGTGTGTGTGTGTGTGGGTGTCTGTCAGTGAGTATGTATGTGTCTGTGTGTGTGGGTGTCTGTCAGTGAGTATGTGTCTGTCAGTAAGTATGTGTGTGTGTCTGTCTGTGTATGTGTCTGTCTGTCAGTGAGTATGTATGTGTGTGTGTCTGTGAATGTGTGTGTCTGTCTGTATGTGTCTGTCAGTGAGTATGTGTGTGTGTTTGTCTTTCTGTCAGTGAGTATGTGTGTGCCTGTCAGCAAGTATGTGGGTGTCCATGTATAGGTAATGGAAATGCAAATCTTTAAAGTATCAATACTGTAGCTTTAAGAAAAGAGGGAATCGCTGGTAACTTGATTCAACCGAAGTTTAAAGTGTTAAACTTAAATGAATTGCATTTAGGCAATAATCCAATAAGAAGAAGTGCAAGTAATCAACAACACAAAGTTCATTATTAAGTATTTCCTCAGAGATGCATTAAGTAACATTCTTTAAGTTGATGAGAATAATCTTCAATAGAAACAATAAGCAAGTAGCTAAGAATATTTGCAAAGCAAGAACAGTTCATAGTGAATAAGCATGATGGGAGTTGTCCTCCATATAATTAGTAGTTTGAAGCACTGAGTATATTTGCAAAGCAAGAAACAGTTCATAGTGAATAAGCATGATGGGAGTTGTCCTCCATATAATTAGTAGTTTGAAGCAGTGAAGATTTGAGTAAGCAAGCATTAGTTCATTATTAAATGATATTGTAGACAAATAGCTGAAAGATATACTTAAGGTTAATACGAGTAGTCCTCCAATAGTTCTGGGATATGGTCCACTTGTAAAGCAAGTGAGTTTCCGTTCTCCAGTAATCCTCTATGACATGAAGCATACTTGTCTTAGTCCAGAAGGATAGGACAACTTCAAAGTTTGTAGAGCCGGCGTACTTATTCGGAAGTAGGACCCACATTGCCAGAGCCTGTGGAGAGGTAAGTCTGGCGGAAGTAGCTCCCAGTAGCTGAGCCTGTGGAGACCGCGGTTTCGCGGAGCAGCTCACACATTAGCTCACACACAATCACCAAGCACCCTCTCTCTGGCCCAGTCTCCCTAAATACCGTCAGAGCTGTGTCAGAGGGGGGCGGGGTCCGGCTCCGCCCAGCGGAGTGCCGAACCCATAAGTGTTACCCCATGACACCATGCACCAAAAAACGTGTCGACCCCTTAGGGCCTTTGTCAAGCTCCTTCTCTCGCTGTATAGTGATGCCAGGGCCAAAGGGACTTCATATTACGGCTCACAGCAGAGCGGGCAGGTGAGGAGAGCAGGAAGATGACAGCTTCCTTGTCCCCCGCCTCCATTGCTCACAGCCGCCCGCCTTGGGGGGCCCTAAGGTGTGAAGGACAAAATTCTTAGTTGACATGGCATCTGGCATTTGTCAAGCCCTGTCATAAAGGACATTGTGGACCAACGCACATGCGTGGCGCTCACCATACAGAATCATTGAATACAATGTTTCTCTGTGGCAGACCTTGATGGCACACTATAAGAGCAGGGAAGTAATGTTCCTGGCTGTCATGGAGGCACCTCTGGCAGCCATGTGATGAGTGGCCAATGGAATTATCACTAGGCTGTAATGTAAACACTGCATTTTCTCTGAAAAGACAGTGTTTACAGCAAAAGGCCTGAAGGTACTGATGCTACTTACCAATACAAATACAATAAGCTGTATTTGTTCTGGTGACTATAGTGTACCTTAAATGTGAGCCATAAAATTATGCATCTTGCCGAAGGTTCCCTGAATCTTTATAATTTTATTTGCTTTATTGTATTGTCACCAGCACATTGTAGGCATTATATATGTGTGCTTTCACTTATTTCATGGTGGCATGCCCACTTTAACACTTAAACTAGTTCCCATCTTTCTCTTCAAGAGCCTAGACATAAAGTGCAAGATTATGATATCTCTTCTCTTTTCCTCTCGCCCCACCACTTGCCCACTCGATCCTGTCCCATCTCACCTTATTAGATCTCTCAACACTTGTCTCGTGCCTTCCTTAACGCACATCTTCAATTGCTCTCTCTCTTCTGGTATTGTCCCTGCTGACCTTAAACATGCCACTGTAGTACCTATACTAAAAAACCATCCCTCGACCCGTCCACCCCCTCTAACTATCGTCCCATATCCCTGCTTCCTTTTTCCTCAAAGCTTCTGGAAAGACTTGTCTTTACCCGTGTATCTCATTTCCTCAATTCCACCTCTCTCCTTGACCCTCTTCAATCTGGCTTCCGCCCGCTCCACTCTACTGAGACTGCGCTTATCAAAGTTACTAACGACCTAATCGCAGCTAAATCCAAAGGCCACTACTCCATACTAATTCTTCTTGACCTTCTGCAGCCTTTGACACCATTGATCATGCTCTTGGTCTCACTTGGTCTCTGTGACTCTGTCCTTTTGTGGTTTTCCTCTTATCTCTCCCAACGCTCATTCAGTGTCTCATTTTCTAATGATACCTCCTCCCCTCGTCCTGTCTCGGTTGGAGTCCCCCAAGGCTCTGTCCTTGGTCCCCTTCTATTTTCTCTTTATACTGCCTCTCTTGGCAAACTTATTACCTCTTTTGGATTCCACTACCACCTGTACGCTGATGACACCCAGTTATATCTCTCCTTCCCGGACCTCTCTCCTGCCGTCCTGCAACGTGTCACTGCTTGCCTTTCTTCCATCTCTGACTCGATGTCCTCCCGCTTTCTGAAACTCAGTCTCTCTAAAACTGAGCTCATTGTCTTTCCTCCTCCTAATACTGATCCTCCTCTTTCGCTCTCCCTTCAAGTTTGTGGTACCCACATCAGTCCATCCTTGCAAGCGCGCTGTCTTGGCGTCATACTTGATTCTGGCCTCACCTTTGAGCCTCACATCCAGCATGTTGCCAAATCCTGTAGATTCCATCTTAAAAACATAGCCCGCATCCGCCCCTTTCTTACACAAGATGCTACGCAGGAGCTTGTCCATGCTCTATTAATTTCCCACATGGATTATTGTAGCCTCTCCTGATTGGTCTTCCCAAAAGCCGTACTGCACCCCTACAGTCCATAATGAACGCTGCTGCCAGACTGATTTTCCACTCTAGTCGGTTCTCTCACACCTCACTCCTCTGCCAGTCCTTACATTGGCTTCCTGTATGCTATAGGAGTCAATTCAAGGTACTAATTCACACCTATAAAGCACTAAACAACTCTAGCCCCTCTTATATCTCCTCACAGATCCATAGGTATGTCCCTTCTCGGTCTCTCCGCTCTGCCCGTAAGCTCGACTGAGCATGGTCCTCTTCAACCTATTGTTCCTGTAAGTTTTTCGTATTTGTCCTATTTATAGTTAAATCCCCCCTCTCATAATATTGTAAAGTGCTACGGAATCTGTTGGCGCTATATAAATGATAATAATAATAATAATTAGGAAATATTTCCAATGTATTATGGTTATTAATTACTTTTCGAAACATACAAATAAGAGTTTATAACATTTCAGTTAAATTAATAAGAATAATTGTTAAATTAATTGTTCAGGGGCAGAGCCTAATGCTCAAGATGGCCAGACCTGTACTTCTGTAGCTCCTGATTAATTAAGCAAAATGTGAGCTTTTACAGCAATTCCATCTGCTACTAACAGTCTTAAGTTGCCTTTAGACCGATTGTAGCGGATGGCACTGGGCTGTCCTGAGAATTACATGTATTTGAATGCATTCGTGTAAAATAGCAAAGTTCTATGTGTTAAATGTATTGTATTCGTCTGAATGTTAGGTAGTTTCATTCCCTTAGTTTGTTCGAATGAAACTACCGAACAGTCAGACCTCCCCTGTGTGAAGTGTGCCTTCAATTACCCGTTGCAACATTGTTGTGAATGGGTAATTGACAAGCTAAGTAGCCGTCCTTTGTTCTCGGGGTGGCCACCATTCGGGAAACGAACACGTGGCGGCGGCCATTTTAAAACTCCCGAACAGCGGTGTTTTGCCGTCGAGTGTCTGGAACCGAGTGGCTGAGACCTCCACAAGCCCGGTCCGTTCGGTTCCAAACTACCGAACGGCCCCTCGTTCGGTAGATAGAAATAACCGAATGAGGGGATTCAGGCGAACCCTCCCTAGTCTCTGTAGCTAGAGGCTTTTGTGCAGTTTATTCCCTGACTCCAGGACCGACCGCAGGGCCCCATCGCATGGAACCCCATTCGGCTGTTCTCTCCAGTGCGGTCGGTCATTTTATTCCCTCCATGAATTTCCCGAACCCCTGGTCTGATCTGGGTGATTTTTGGATATGTTGTTCACCCAGATCAGGGCTACCAGAGGATGTATAATTTAAAGTGGTACCCCTAAGTGTAGGGGTACATCAAGAAACGGGGGCAATTGGTGTGCTGGATAAGGGGATTATGATGCAGGCTGAGGGGAGGAGATGTGTGGGAGGTTACCAGAGCAGGATTGGCTACTGTACAAATTAATGGAAATCCCTCCCTTGCATGGGAGCAGGCTTTAAAAGGCCACTGTGTGAATAAATCTTTAGTTCTGCTCCTGATACTGTGTGTCGTCCAGTTATTGGGATTGCTGCTGGGATACTGCTGTGTTATTTTGCCTGCTGGATACTTTACCCTATGGATTTATAATTGCTTGTTCCTGAACCTCCCTGGGATCTAAAGTGGAGATAGGCTGTGTAATACCAGCTCTCCGCTACACCGATGTTAACACTGAGTGAAACCTACTGAGTCTGGCAAGCAGTAATCCTGTCTAACTCTGAGGCCTATGGAGATTGCCATACCGGCGGAGTGGAAAAGCGGACAATCTCCCCACACTGCATGTGCCCCCTGAGGGTCTGCCCAATTACCGCCCCTTAGAGCAGCAGGAGATATCTCAGTCCCCACTAGGTCAGCCTACAATAGAAGCTTGGTCATCCAGCACCTTGAAAGCCAACATGGCCACCGTGCAGAAAACTCAGCTGAACCTAGAGAACTTGGAAGGCATGAGCTGGAAGGACCTCTTCAATGCCAGGTTCGATGCCATCTGTGATGAGTTCTGGAATAGTATTGCTTGCACACCGCATAGACCTACCCCTCCTGTAGCTCAGCTGACTCCAGAAGACACCTCTGCTAGGCACTACTTTTCTGGGCTAGGGTCCCACATGGAGGTACCTCCAAGCCGTTATCCATCTACTCAGAAGGTAGTCCGGGTTCAAGATCCTGCCACTTGAGATAGGGGGATCTATGGACACAAGATGCTGGCTCCCATCACGGCATTTGGGCTGAAGGTGCATGGAATCGGGGAACTACTGTTCGGGTGACTACAGACAGGATCCACAAAAAAGCCTACCTCGTCTGCCTGCAGGGTGTGAGGAAAACGACACTGGCATGGAGATGGACTCTCTATCATGGCCAGCCTGTAGTATGGGCTGAATGAGGCTGCCGCTATCACTATGCAGCTCTCACTTATGATATCACCAATTTGGTTATCTAAGCTGTGATTTCTGCTTTTGCTAAGCTGTGGCTTCTGTCTCTTGCATTTTTTCTCTGACCAGTGGTATGATGTATATTTGCTAGCCTGCTATACAGCAATACTCAATATAGTTAATATCTACTTGTCTGGCTGGTCTTTCACATATATAGGTTAAGCCTTTCAAATTCTGACATACATGCCTAGCCTGATTTTGCTGTATAGCTTACAGTTAAGCGAGTATTACCGTTACCTACCATCAAAATCATATATGCTGTTATCTTGGTTAAATATCTCTGAATCACCTTTGATTGTATATCAGTTTCTCTCATGTCATTATTTTTTTGTATTAAAATTAGGCTGTAAATCTTTATTGAGTAATTTTTATGCTATACTTTGAATTGCATTATTTGAAGGTTTCTGTATTCTGCTAATATCTTGATCTTAATAAAATATAGCAATAAAATGACAACAACAAAAATTGATAAAAGTATAGGAAAATGCTTTGCATATTGTCAGCAAAGTTGTCAGTGATTAGAACATTGAATAGGGGGTAGGTCTGGGAGGGGGAAATAGTGCAGATGTGAGTAATAGCTAGATAGCAGATTATGTATTAGCTCGAAGATGTTTGGGGAGTGGAGGCTTGCTGAGTTTCATAAAGTCATCCCTTGTGGACCACCTAAACTTAAAGTGAGTTCAAATTGTGGTGAGTCATTTCTTTATGAAGGTGCATAGTGAGGAGGGTATGTTTCACCATTCATAGAGATGGTGGTGTAGAGGACTCCCAATTCTTTGCAACATAATTTTTTTCTGGCTGTAACAATGTGGAGAATTAGCACTTGTTGGGGTCTTGGTATTTGCAGAGGTAGCATGTCTAGAAGAAAACATGGGTAGCTTGGTAGTTATCACTTCCGCAATACCAGAATGTCTTGGGTAAAAAACTATGCGTTAATGTTCCCTTCTCAGTCAGGTATCTTCAACATCGAGCGTTTGTTGTCGGATATCACGATACCGGTCACTTGCAGCGCTGTGCGATTACAAAAATGATTTCTCTTCATTCAAATGATGTTGTCTGATGCACACCCACTCATCCCTAGCTTTCTGGTGCCTCATTATAACATCATATATGACATGGTCTCCTTTTATAATGTGGCGCTTTTTGATGATGTATACACACTTGTGACATCATAGTTCTCTGTAACCAATCAGAACCCAGTACAAAGTATATAAACTTCCTGGTTGTTCTTGTTTCCTTGCCCTGTCGTGGTTCTTGTTACATGAGAGAGAGAGCTTATGCTGTGTGTTGGATTTACTGTTTTCTGACCTTGACTTGTGTGACAATTCTTGCTCTCTGTTATCCTGACATTGGCCTGACTATCGATTCTGTGTATCTCTGTTACGCTAGCCCTTGGCCTGTCTGTTGTATATTATATGCCTGCTTGCAGACATTTCATTTATCTGTCTCAGGCACTAGCCCGGCCACTCTAAGGACCGGTTCATGTTCCTTTACTGTTTCATTAAGGTTTGCATGTTAGAGTATCTCCATTCCTGACATCGGGTAAATGTTAGCTAGGCATGCAGGAGTAAGGTACCATCTGAACCATAACTTGCGACAAGTCCCCCTGTGTATTATGAATTTGCATTTCCATTCTGACATTGGGAATGTTTTTTTAAAGGTCTTTTTTCCCATTGTAAGAGAAAGATGGTTCCTTTTGCGCGTCTTCACATATCAGAGCTTGATAACAAGTTGCTAAAGATTTGAGCTTGTGAGGGGGGCGTAACACAGTTTGTAGGATATGGCACAGTATTGCCTGTCTGGTGCAGTGAGATTGTGGGTGAGAAGCATTTGTTTAACTCGTAAATAAGTGAAGGCTTCCTTGGATGGGAGCGGGTAACGTAAAGTAAAATCTGAGAAAGGTATGATTAAATTGTCTTTCATACGTTGCCTCACAATTGTAATGCCTGCCGTTAGTCAGTTGTGTAGGTTTAAGTAGGGAGTGTATAGTTGTAATGTTGTGAAAGGTGCAAAGTACAAGCAAGAGTGAGGAAGTAGAATTCGGGAAACTTTCGATCTCCACAGTGTTAGTGATACTTGCGTGATTGATATGATTGAGCAGAGTAAAGGACTTAAGTGAGCTGGAGACCACATCATTTGCTGGAGTGAAAATGGCTTGTTCTAATTGGACCCAAAGTGTGGAGATGTGAGCTTCTAGTAATTGCATTGTCAGGGATTCCCAGTACCCTTCCCATTGGTGGCCCCTTAGTGTTCTTAGCTCTATATGCAGGTCGGGGAGGATTGGGGGTGGGGGGGCAATTTCTTCCAGATATGGGAGTTTAATGTACACTAACATTTCTTGAGGAGGGCTGAGGGAACTTTAAGTGGGAGTTTCCAAAATAAATATTAAAAAATAGCAGGAGAGTGCTCAATTTAACTGCTTGGATTCGTCCAATCCAAAACATCTCATAGGAGGTCCATTCTTTGATGAGGGTGTGTGTGTGAGGCGATAGCTTAACTTTAAGATATGATATTTTGTGGATACGCCAATTGATGGAAAATTGTGATTGTAGGTCTTGATCAGCATGTCCTATTGGAAAGTCCTGTGCTTTGAATGCACTGTTTTTCTAACAGGAGATTTTGTCTAAAGTGGAAAAGAGGTTCATGTTAGCTGAGAGGGAAACCAGTAGGTCTGTCAGAATTAACAGTATATTGTCGACAAATAGGAAGAACAGTTGAGCTCCAATAGATATCTGGTTTCCTTTTACCTTAAAAATAAGAGGTTCTAAGTCAAGGATAAATATAAGAGGTGAGAGGGGGCAGCCTTGCCTAATACTATGCATTATGTTGAAGTGTTTGGAGAGTGTTTGGAGTGAACTCTAGAATGTGTTGCGAACTTTAGCCTGTGTTGCGGGCCAGAGTTCACTCCCCACTAGGACTGCCAGGGATTCACCACTAGGACCACCAGGGATTATCTTATAATGTCTCAAGGCAAAGGTAAGAAGGGAGGGGGGATCAAAATATATATATTTTTTTAATTATTAAATAGTTTATAAGAACAATAAAAAAAAATTATATAATATTTTTTAAAAATACAAATATATTCACACTGCACCACACCCACACACTGCCCCCACCACTGCACCCCTCACACACACACACTGCACCCTACAAACACACATTGCACTCACACTGCACTCACACACAACACCCCTCACACACACACTGGACCCCACACACATACACTGGACCATTCACACAGACAGAATTCCTTACACACACACTGGACCACTCACACACACACAGCACCCCTCACACAAACACACACTGGACCCCTTACACACACACACTGGATCCTTCACACACACATTGAGCCCCTCACACACACACACTACTGCCCCTATACCCTACTAAAGGTCCTAGTCCCTACTATAGGGCCAATCTCTGCAGATCCCAGGTAAGTTGTCTAACTGTTCGTAAACGGTAGTTAAGATAGCCTTATGCCTATCCCACGCATGCTTAAACTCCTTTACTGTGTTAACCTCTACCACTTCAGCTGGAAGGCTATTCCATGCATCCATTACCCTATCAGTAAAGTAATACTTCCTGATATTATTTTTAAACCTTTGCCCCTCTAATTTAAGACTAAGTCCTCTTGTTGTGGTAGTTTTTTGTCTTTTAAATCTAGTCTCCTCCTTTACTGTGTTGATCCCCTTTAAGTATTTAAATATTTCTATCAAATCACCCCTGTCTCGTCTTTCCTCCAAGCTATACATGTTAAGTTCCTTTAACTTTTCCTTGTCAGTTTTATCCTGCAATCCATGAACCAGTTTAGTAGCCCTTCTCTGAACATTCTCTAAAGTATCAATATCCTTCTGGAGATTCGGTCTCCAGTACTGCGTACAATACTCCAAATGAGGTTTTACCAGTGTTCTGTACAATGGCATGAGCACTTCCCTCTTTCTACTGCTAATACCTCTCCCTATAGAACCAAGCATTATGCAAGCATTTCCTGCTGCTCTATTACATTGTCTGGCTACCTTTAAGTCCTGAGGAAAAATCACCCCTAAATCCTTTTCCTTTAGTAGTGTCAGGTTACCTGTTAAGATTGCCTCCTCGTCTTCTTCGGGCCTTCCACGTTCGTTTCCCTTCTAAGCCCGGTCCCATCCGCCCGGTGGGCGTTTCTAAAAGGGGGGGTACTGTCAGGTTACCTGTTAAGATTGCCTCCGAGGAGGACAACCTCTCTTCATAGGGGCTCCCCTCCCCTAGCATTTCGGCAATTCCGGCCGTTTTCGCGCCGGCCGCGCTAGCTCCTCCCCCTTTTATGACGCGACGGCTAGCGTCGACGTCATGACGTCATCATTAACGTGAAGTGCCGGGAACCGCAATTCCGGACCTTTTGGGGGCGTAGTCTCAATTAAGGTGACAGGGTATTTAAGGGAACTTTTACTACTGCTCATTGCCTTGTCGTGGTTCTAGCTTGCTAGTCACTCAGCGCGTTCTCTCTCTTAGTGTTTTCGGTTTTGACCTTGCTTATACCTTTGTCCTGTTGCTCTCTCCTCTCCTTTGACCCGGCTTGTTCCTCGCTTACCTGTCCTCCGGCTCCCTCGACCTCGGCTTACCTTTTGACTATTCTTGTTTTGTCCATACGTTAGTCCGGCCATTCTAAGGTCCGGTATACGTACCTCCTTCTGTCCGCACTCTGCGTATTGGATCCCTGTCACTATCCTGACATTACGACAGGGCCATATGGATCCTGCAGGTGC